CGGGAGCTTGACTATCACCACAATGGGATACATATTGCAGATCAACGTTCAACAGATCGGGAAATGGGTCTTAGAATACCATGAATACGGGACAATGACGGGCAATAGAGTGAGAGAGAAGAGAACACAGAATCATACTTGTCGACGTTTTAGCGGTGAAGAATTCACTGGAGTTTCTGGGGCTTCGGTGTTCTCATCTGCCTCGGTGCTTTCGACTGCGGTGTCGATAACGTTGCCAGTACCTTGTGGAACGGGTGGAGTACTGCTTGGATTAGGATCCAGAGTGTTAGCGGAGGTGCTAGCGGCACTGCTAGCCTTGTTCCTACGTCTGTAGTAATCGGTCAGTATAATGTGGCAAGTTTATTACGATCTGACGCTGGCTTACAACGTTAACGGTACTCGTCCGCCTTTGGGAGTACCAGGTTTGTTGATGACCTTATCAACTAAACTGGGGGCATCCCCGGTGCAGCGACTGATTGCAGTAACCTGATCGAGTAATGTTAACTTGGAACTACAAATCGATATTGTTGTGTGACGAACCTCAGTTTCCCACATGAAGTTCACCCCATTGTAATCCTTGATGGCGCCAACTAATTGAACCTCGCGGCCAACTTGGCATATGTTTTGTGCTTTCTCCATGTTACGAACGGGAGGGATATGATGCTTGGTGTAGAACGTCACTGGAATTTTTGTCTGTCGTTGCTGTCGTAAGTATAAGGATAATAAAAGATGACGTTTGTGGAACTTACAATAGGATCATAGTCTTGGGACTGTAGCGTAATTACAACAGTCGCTTTGCCTTTGTAAAGAGGGTCCTTCACAGTTTCGCGCGCTGTCACATACCCAAGCGCAATCATCACGGTCTTGTCCATGAGATCCTCGGCAAAAGACTCGCCGAATCTCGCAACGTCACCGAGATCAATTCGTGCAGAATTTTCGAAGTGAAGATGGTCATCTTTGTCGTCGTTGGTACCAATCATCTTGCAAGTCATCGAATAGACGGAATTGGGCTTGACGGCGTCAGCAGTGGATCCATAAGATGTCAAGCGAATAGGATTGGCGAAGGGGGCACCTCCATTCATCCCAGAGGTGGCGATAGAAGCATGAGAAGAGATAAACCCTTTTGAATTAATGTGAAGGGAAGCAGCCTGCGAAATAGACATAAATTAAGATTAGCATGGTGTATGAATTATATCGGTTTCAGGCAAGCGGAACGGTATCTTACTTCAACTCCCGCCTGTCCGAAATAATTGACCCGAATAGGGTGAGAGGTTGAATTGGTATTGGGGGCGACCATCGTGGCAGATAGATGAGTAAGCAGCGGTATGGGAAATTGAATGACAGATAATAAGTTAATGCGAAGTGATTGCTATCAGTGAAAATGCAGATGGATAGAAATTAATAGGATGTGGGTGCATCAACGACTTCTTATAGTTTTCGTATCGTGGGATGACGCCGAACGCAAACAACAAGGCGGCAACTCTTCGTCGGCTGGGGTGCACCGCCAACATAACACGGATGGTTTCGAAATCGGCAGCTTGGAAATCAGGGCCAGGAACATGAAACGTGTCAAAAAGGACCAGGCGAATGGGCGAGCGTGTGATGTGCTGCTGATTAGAGTATTGGCTACAGAAAAGAGGGTGCAAATGTGATTGTGATCACTTACACCTGATTTGGTCACTGTGTTTATTGTAGTAATTTGCCGCACGTCCATAAAGCGGACTGTATTGTTGTTGGGACTACTGGGCAGTCAGATCGAGTGTCCGGCGATTGGATAATGGATGTTGAGGGCGATCGGGAGTACGTGGTTGGGATATTGGATATAGATTGACCGTGCTGGATAAAACTGTTGCAGTCTAAAAATAAGAATAGGTAAACTACTTGTCGACTGATTGAGATCTGACTTACTATGAAGGTGTATTTAGGGCTAGGTTAGACAATGGTTGGGTAGAGGCTCAGCATTGTGGCTTGGGGGCTAGGTTAGGCAATGGTTTGGGAGTGGCTCAGCGTTGTAGGCAAAAAAAATTTTGATAACGTCTTGGCAGACTGGGAAAGTGGAATAGAGTGTGGACCGCGACAGTCTGACGTTGTTGGACCGTAACGCAGACCATGTATATCGACATTTTTCGTAGTCAACACCATCTCCTTATTATGTATGATTATTATCAATTGTTTTTATTGCTGCCTTGTCGCACTTTGTATTTTTCAATCAATCCAGCGGCTTCAACAAACTCCTCTGGTGGAGCAACCCCTGATTTGATCCACTCTCTGCAGCCTACAGACTTCTCCATGGTGCTGGAGTTCAGGCCACCACGATCAGGCTGACAGACATCGGCCGCGGAGGAGAATGTCCTTTCCACAGGGCATGTCGTACCAGAGCATGCGAGATAGTTCTTTGCAACACCCGCCACCGTTGGGAACCACTTAGAGTTGTCTTATGACAATTAATTACCCCCGTGTAAGTAAGTCAGAATGAAACACAAAAAACTCAAGACACTCACGTTCCACCACTTCAAGATACAACCGTCCTGGTAGGGATACTTTGTCCCAAGATAGAGCTCCACTTCACCTTGAAGATTAGTTGTTTCAGACACTTCTGAAGGTCGGAACAGGTTATCGTCATGATCGTCAATGATTGGATGGGTGTCCTGCGATTCGGAAGCCGTAGTTGCCAAATGCTGGCTAGTTGATGAAGAAACACAATTGTTGTTTGCTGATGATTGTGCTTTTTGAAATGCTCGATCCAAGGCGTCATTCAACATCTTTTGAATTCGAGTAACTTCGGTTGGATGATAATTCTCAAAAAATTTCATACGCTTGCTGGGATTAAGCACTGTAGCTAGGACAAGAGTATCACACTTGAGAGCTTCCTTGTGGTACACTGCAAGTTTACTCAGCATTACCCCGATCATCTTATGTAGACTTTTGTATTGACATTCTTCTTGCATTTTTTGTAACACCTTTTCCATTCGACGATACTCAGATAGGACCCGTGATCCTGTTGGCTTATCACCTTCCATCATGAGCGTGGAGGATAGGAATATCTACAAAATAAAACAAAATATACATAAGCAAAAAAGATCTGGAAACTTTCAAATCTGAGATCAGAAGGTACATACATCGAGTACGGTGTTTGAAGCCCTTACCGCGGCCCATTCACTCTGTGTTATGCACATCTCATCAAAAAGATGAGCATCCGCGCCTCCGAGCATCTGTGTCACGGTCTGAAATTGAAAGACATTGTCAAAGAAAAAGAATATAAGAAGTGATGTCAAATAACATACTTCTTGCGCTTGACAGACTTTTTGTCGCGATTGGACAGCTGCATTCCAACGGATCCCGTATCCAGCTGTGATCGAGCCTTTTCCCTCCCGTCGTGCTTGGAAAAGGGCTCGCAGGGCAGGATTTGCACATACCCGACGTGCAAAGAGATCAACCTTCAAACAATCTTTTCAGCAAGTTGATCTCTTAGAAGTATTTATAATGAAAATGATGAAAATAATATATTTGACTACCTTTTGAACTGCCTGTACCACCACGTCAGGCTTCCATCTACTCGCTGGGAGAAAATCCTGCAAATCGATATCGTCATCGCCTTCGGCCTCGGTATCAGTGTCGCCGTCCTTATCACCTCCCACATCTTCGCCGTCTTCCAGATGGTCGACCATCTCGGTGGTGGAGGGGCCGTCAGGGAAACTTGGAATGGAGGAGTCATCTATGGCCAAAGAGGGCATAGGCACCTCTCGCCCGGGCGTGGTAGTTGGTTTGGTATGCCCAGGATCAATCTTGATGCTTCTCAAACCCGCTTTGACCACAAGCGCAAGCTTATGAGCATAACACCGCACGTGGTTGGCTTTTGCATCCCATTCCACGGGTTCGGGACACTCGGCAAAGATTCGTGACATCTCAACTGCCATGATGTTGTTGTTAGCACCTGAATCAGTCGCCTGTGCCAGCATGTATATTTTTGAAAAGATCAATGGATTTTATGTCAGCCTGATGATCGGCCTATTCAATGGAGAAAAAGAAAAAGGTGCCTATCTTTTTGTGTAGGCCATGTCGAACAAGAAATCGGGCGATTGGACGAGCAAGTAAAACACCAAAATGGTTCCAAGTGACCAGTTTGAGTGTAAGATGACGGACCCGATAGTTCCAGTCCTTATCGATATAAGCAACACTCGCCCCAATAAATGCATGACGTCTCCCTTTTGTCGTCCACCCGTCATGCATCAAGCAGAATGAGCTATCGTTCTCCTGTGGTAGAAACAAATCAGAAAGTAGAAATCGATAAAAAATAATCAAAATATAGAAATCGATAAAAAATAATCAAAATATCGAACCTTGATTTCTTTTAAGAGATTCTTTTGCAGGCCTGTATATAAGCGCTGAGCTGCTTGGGCTGCCCAGGTACGCGAGTACATTGTTGCTAAAGGATTTGAGAACCATAACGCTGCGCGAAGTGTTGTATCTTCAAATCGCAACCAAGGCAGAGCATGTCAAAGTACCCATATGACCAACATTAGATTCAGATTCTTCACACCAAACGCTTGCTTGACAACGAATTGGTCCAACGTGTTAGATTGTTGGTTTGCTGCCTTCTGTTTGTCTTGCCAAGAAGCTTCCAGCTTGAACCCCTGCTTGATCGCAACGTGGCGTTTGGTGCAAACAGGTCGAGTTTGGGCGCCATCGCGATGGCCGTATAACGTCTGGTAGGTATTAGGACACTTGGCGAAAGATTCGCCACAAAATCGGCACTTGTAATATTGGAGGACTCCGCTGCCGATCTGGTGAATATACCACGTGTCAGTTTAAAGTTATCAGATGGGTAAAAAAAAGATGCTTTCGACTTACTTCATCAGGACATTCTGTGGGATGTTCGTAGTATTTCAAGAGCTCACATACGCGTTCAGTGCGGCCTTTGGTTGGCGGTTTGGCTTGCCTTTCACCGGTGACCTCCACATCGGAATCCCGGTCAATATTCAGCCCTTCAGGAACATCATCGGGTCTTGCCTTGGGTTTCTGATTTTGAGGCAGATACATTAGATGAGTTGCACAGAAAGTGTTCAATGACCACAACACACACTTACATTTTGTGTCGCTTTTCGTTTGCCCTTGTTGGCATTTCCGCTTAGTGTAGATGGAGCTTGTTTTCGTTTCCTTGAGGCTGGCATTGAGGAGTTTGACTTGGAAGGAATAATATCAGATGATTGGCTTGATGGCATGCTGGGAGTCGGTTTGAAGGTAAAAGGATATAAAGGTACTATTAGGTCGATCGATGATTCAAGGAAATTATATATATATGCTTTAAGTTTAGGTAAATCAAAATAAAAGAACGTCCTGGAACTTGAAGATCACAAAAATTTGTAAGATAATGTTACGATTAGTACGAATCAAAGCATATCATATAGGGCCCGTCACTGATAGGCTGGTATTAGTAATAGTATCCTTACCTTTTGGAACTTGGACTCGGAGTGATACCGGTGCGCACATGTGTGATTATGTCACTGAATGATCGGCTAGATTTGGTTAGAGTGGTATTTGGAGTAGGTAGTAGTGCGTCATTGATGGCCTGAAAGAGGTGTGGAAGCCAGGGGTCGGATGGTTTGGTGGACATCGTGAGTCGACTAGAGCGAATTGAGTCGAAAGAGTGGCCAGGTTTGGTTAGAGTGGCATTCGGAATAGGTGGTAGTACGTCATTGATAGCCTGAAAGAGGTGTGGAAGCCAGGGGTCGGATGGTTTGGTGGACATCGTGAGTCGACTAGAGTGAATTGAGAGGTTCCCAGGGGTAATCTCGAACACCTAGGCTTGAACCAATATGAGCTATCACATATTGGTTCATACCTGTAACATCCTGCATCGTATCGGCTATACCCAATACGGAAAAGTTTGTTTCATATGTCGGGTCGTTTGAACCGATATGTGAAATTCCAAGTTTCTATGTTGTATTGGCGACACGACACCAATACAACACCGACTTTTGTGTCGGATCGGTTCCAGCGTTGGAGAGAGCTTACTTTGCAAGATAAGTGAAATCCTTTGTACCACTATTTTGTTCCATTTGCACCCCCTCTCTCAGTTGTTCCTCACACCTACCACCTTCATGCACAGCCCCCAACTACTGGTCACTGGCAGGCCAGTACATCCGATGTCTCCAAAATGTTTTCAACAAAACTTCAATTGGTTTTCAGCATAACATCCATCTGCTATCAAGATGTTTTGGGTCAGTTACCAGCAAAATATGTCATACCACCAAAATTGAGATGATGTCATACAGCATCATAAACCTGTACAAACCT